CAAAATAATGAAACCAAAAGTATGTTATAATTTAGGAGAAATGATTAGGCTACTAGCACTCAGTGAAGAACGCTAAACTTTTCTACTCATCTTCAACATTCACAAGGAATCTCTATAAATAGTAATGTGCCAGTGAAAAAGGCCTTCATATATAATTTAAATTTAAACTCCAAGAATCAAGCTAAAAACAACTTAAAAGTTCTGAATTTTTGAGTTAAAACAAATTGCACCTCTTTTCTGTCATAGTTACCTGCTTGTGGTGAAGCAAATTTTTCCATATCAACTACGAGCATATTGGGCTGCAACAGGAGTGAACAGTTAGGTCAAGAGTTCATCCAAGTTGAAACCTTATCCAGAAATTTTGAGATTTATAAGTTAATCTAATATTTATTTGAGGATTCAAAGAACTCTAACCTCAACAAGTGTCTGCTCAAAAGCAACGGAAAGAAGTTTATCCTTAAAAAGGGAAAGGAAACAACTCCCTAAGATTAGGAGAGAGATAGATAGAGAAAAATAATTTTAGAATTCATGGTGCAAATAATATGGTAAACTTACAAGCCAACCAGCAATTCCCGGAAGTTCAGTAACATCAAGCCCATGATTGAACATTGGTTTTACAGTCATCTGGAAATAGGGTGGCTCAGCAAAACATACACGCAAACGGCCCAAGAAAGGCCACTGACGAAGGAACTTCACTCCAATCAACACCTTCAAGAAAGAAAGGACATGCTTTAAGGAGAAACCAATACTAATCAATTATCGTAAATTTCACAATAAAGCGAGAAGATTATTACAATCCAGGAATCTTAAAGTGATTGGTATCATATAACCATAAACATTTACATTTCAGACACTGTTGAAAGAAAAAAAAAAGGAGCTCACTTCAAACATTATGCAATATGAAAGACTGAACCTCCATATTTGCTGATCTTAACAAATAATTAACTTCATTCGATCACAGTGATCGATTCTTTGGCAAAAACTAACATATCAAAATTTGGCCTCAGCATTATATCATATAATTTGTTTCATGTACAATTTCATATCTAAGACCCATATTGGTCTGAGGAATGACATGAATTCAACAATACAATGAAACCCCATACATATATACCTTTCCCTCAACATGCATGCCTGTCAAGTGTAACTTGGCCCACATTCCACCCAGTCTTTTCCTTAATCTCACAGCAAGTATTGCACTCATATCATCCGCTGTGAGAAAATTCATTCCCACCTCCAAGACCTGCATTTATTGTAAGAAAGTCTATTTTGAACAAATAGTTTACAACTCTGGCCACAGAAATGATATAACAAAACAAAATTAATAACATATAGCAGATACAAATATACCAAGTGATCATCATCGGTAGATTCGCGAAGAACCCTCATTTCAGTGAATAAAGGTGGATTTCTTCCCAAATAGAGGTGCTGAACCACTGCTTTCTTCTGTAGAGATAATATACATATACAATTAAAAACTGAATTGAACATAAACATTAACAGCAGTTAAAAGTAACTTACCACTTGCCAAAAGGCATGATTATCTTTATGTATAAGTTGATGAATAGTTATAGAACAGAGTTATTGAATCCTTAATTGATCTAATGTTATGCATGTTCCATCCAATATCATTGACAAAATTTTCAAGCAAAACTATGGAATTTTAGTTATTCGCTTTACAAGATTATATGCTCCGAGCTCACAGACACCACCTTTTGATGAAGAAAACAGCTTTATAGTTAAAAATAAATGAGAAATGAAATTAAGATATCCCTACGGTATTCGGGATGGTAAGCAGATCTCAGGAGTAATATTCGCTAGAAAGAAAGTAAGAAAGGTACAGACATGTATAGAATTTGAATAAAAATTAAATTTCATTTTAACTAGTCACCAAGTTCACTAAGCAATGCAGATCCTCATACGGAGACAAGATTTGAAGTCACATAGTCGAGAAGATAAAACATTATAAGCACAAGTACTGGAAGAAAACACTAGGAAAGTAGAATCATACAGCTGTCCATGGTTTGTACTTCTCCAGGAACCAAGGTATGATAGGGAGCAGAATTTTCTGAGATGCAATCTGCTCCATACATATAGGCCATATCCTTTCAACAGCATGGTTCAACCAACGTACTGTTTCAGAATCAGAAAGAACCTGAAACATAAAAGAAAAGGAACCAAAAAGCTAACTTAGCCTCTGTATATGAAACAAAAAACATAACCCACAAAAGTGAAAATCATATATCCCAATTTTGACCAGTGTAGACCGGTCCTTTTTCTGTACAAAAGCCTCATCCAAACTTAAAAGTTCACCTCACCACTTGGCTTTATCATCAATTAAGTTCCAGTTTAAACACTCAAGGTCAAGAGGACAAAATAAAATGGTATTCAATTATCTGACCCATTTAATCACATTTCTCATTTTCCCGTCAATCTTGTTACGGGGTAAATGGAGTAAACACGCAAAACTATATGATTTCAAATTAAAACTGGGAGAAGAAGATTTAATAATCACCCTTCTCTGATTAGAGCATTTTCTCTCTTCAAACTTCAATCTTCTCCGCAATCTCATCACATATCGCTCATGAACCTTTAGATAAACAAAAAGCAATTTCTAGAGTAAGCAAGCATTCAAATCCATTAAAAGAAACAAAGAGTTACAGAGCAATCTCCAACTTTAATACTCCAAAATAAGAGAATTGAGGAATCAAGAGAAGTAAATCATACCAAGTAAAGATAAATCAGAGATGCGAAATAAATTATTGGGTGGCATCGATTGAAGAACGAAAACAACCAAAGCACAACCAAGACGATACCCACGTGATGCATCATCGATATCTCCAATACACTACTCATATTTGCTTCTTATCCTCTTCTTCTTCCTCCTCCTCAAATCATCAAACCCAAAGGATGAAAATCACTACTTCATTTCTGCTTCAATATATTCAAAACCCACACCCCGAATATCTATGATATTTAAAGGGTTAAATAGCGTATTGATATCCCATCCGATGGATGGATTATGTAAGCATTGACGGTTTGCGGCAGTGAAATCTGTACCCGTATAAAAACCATAAAAGGATTTGACTTTATTTCTGGGTACTGTTTAGAAATTAGAAGTAATGAGTGAGAGACGTTAAGAAACAAAAATAGAATGATTTAATATCCCGGGTATAAATTATATACGTGAGTGTAGGATTGGGAAGGGTGAATATATATATATATATATGAGCTAGATATTAGTTTCCCGGCATCCAAAACGGTGCCGTGCGGAGCAATTACCCGGCAACGACACAGAAATCCTCAAAGTAAAATGGCTATACCTGCTGGATCAGTTGTTTTGAAAGCCGTGCGTTTTGACTGATAGTTCGGTCCAGTGTTCACTTGATGATGGAGATCTGGCCGTTGATTTAAGGGGCCCACGTGGGGTCCAGCTGAAAAGACAAAATGGTAGTGTAGGTTGGTTGGCAAGGGATCGTTATTCAGGGCGTTGACGTCCATAGACGGATAATAGAGAGCCATTTATGACCGTTGGATTGCGGTGCATGTCGTGTGGAAATCGAGGGCTAATGATAACATACCACGTGGCAGCCGATGAACGCAGCACCTGAAAAATTATTTGGCATGTGCCCCGTGAATCATTGAATTTAAATGTCCAAGTTTTCTTATTCCATGACACGCCGATAAATTATATGATATCTCGTTGAATACAACAGAGATATTTTAGTTTCATCATATTTAAGATTAAACAGTATTTACCCAATAATTTTTAAATTTCAGCTATTAGTTTTTAAATTAGGGAATATCTATATAAATAGTAAATAATTATATCAATTATTAATAAATTCAAATAAACTATTTCTTATAAAAAAGTACAACAATTATTTAATTAAATAATAATTAATAAATTTTAAAATATTAAATTTAAATTACATCTAATATGTCTCATGTTTAAATAATTATCGTCTAATAATTTTTTTTATTATTTAAGTTAGTCATTTATTAATATTTAAACTCAAATTATTTATAATACAATATTGACTATTAAATTTATGATAACA